GTTTGTCAATCTCTCAACGCGCTATTAGCGAAAAATTATCGAGTCATTTATTTTAATTTTTTTTTGTTCTCAATAAACCCGCTTATTGTTACTTTAATACTGAAAGTATGATTTTTGTGTTCTCGTCGTAATCTTTCCTCTTAACTCTCCCTGTATCAAAGCAGCCCTTGTCTTTTCCCAAGACCCTGCTCCTCTACCATTGATTGAGCTGGCCTAGCCGCGTAAGAGCGAGAATTTCCAAGATTTTTGCGTATGTTTCGCGTTTGGTGGTGTCGCGTTGGGAATTCGAATTTTTCGCGAGGTCGACGTCGCCTTTAAGGACGTTTGGCGCCCAACTTTCGCGTTTCGCGATTCTCGCTCGAACGTTTTCGCCTTTGGTGTCTTCATTATGGTCATTATTCGACCGATCGGGCTCATCATTTCTTTCGCCTTGCGACGCGCAAGCGAATAACGTCGCAATATATATACAGGGTGTCCCAGAAAGAGCGTCAAAAATTACACGAACAGGTAGAGCGGACTGAACTGAATCGAAAAGTCCTCTACCGTTTTGCAATTTTCGTAATAGTTAACGAGATAATAATTGATAAAAATTACCGAATACGTGCGTCCGCCCGGCCTACTACTGCCAACAGTGTACGCCCATGATAGTTCGATGGTGCGCGGACCGCGGCGAGCGGGGATTGCGTGGCAAGCGTGCCGCTGGCTGAGTCACGACGTTTGGAGCTCGCGGCGGTCATGATTGCATATGATAGATGTAAACAGCACGCAGTCAGCGGCGGCGCACGGCCAGCGGCGTACAGTGGGGCCGAATGAAATTTCGTGTTTCAAAAAAGGCTACAGTCTCCAAATTTGAACCGATTTTAATCAATTTTTTTTTTAAATGAAAGCTAATTAAATTTGGAACAGATCTGTCTAGCCAAATATTTATCAGGAAACGCGGTAGCGTCTCCGGCCATGTTCAAAAAAACTCTGAGACGCTACAAGTCTCTTATCCCGAGCCATCAAAGTCCATTATTGGGAGGTGCATAACTATTAAAATATAAAAAATTTTGAATCGAACGTCATATGTCCTGAAAGGCGGCATCACCACGAGTAATTTGAGCCAAGGAATTTTTAAATCGGTCAAGCCGTTCTCGAGATATAAGCGGTCGAAAATTAATGATTTTAATGAAAAATTAAGAAACGTCTCCTTCTCCGTCTGTCCGTCTGTCCGTCCGTCTGTCCGTCCGGATTTAAAAATCCGATTTTTACCAGATTCTCTTTTACCTTTCACTCGCACCTCCACCATCTTTGGCCCACCGGACCTCGTCCACTCGCCTCCCCCCTCCCC